TTTTGTTTTGTTTTGTTTTGTTTTGTTTTGTTTTGTTTTGTTTTGTTTTGTTTTGTTTTGTAGCATGACTCTAGAAGTAGAGCAGGGCTTTGGCAGAATCCACATAGCTATGTAGACAATAGATTGGGTCTGACTCTAAAGCAGGGAGATGAGCCAATAGTGACCATGGCAACATAGACAAATCATGAAGAAAGAAAGAAAGCAACAGCTTCACAGAGTTGGTGTCTTGGTTGATGAAGCTTGAAGACCATGACAGGATGGAAACCTCTGTTATTTGGATCTTCCAGGCTCCTTTCTCAAGGCTGGCCAAGATCTTACCAGGAACTGCCCTTCTGCTGGTAAAGATGTAAGATTATACTTAATGAAGGGCTTCCTCAAATTGATTCCTGCACTTAGAGAAGAAGACAAAGATTCAGCAAAGTCTGAAGACTCACCGCTGAGACTCTGCCCACTCAGGTCTGATGAGGATTTGTCAGGTAAAATTGAATGCAGTGTCTGGCCCGGGAAGACACTGTCAAGGAAGAGGAAACTTACTATGACATAAATCTAGACATCCCTCAGTCCCAGCCTGCTCTCCTTGCCTCCCTATGAAACTGCAGGGGAATTATCCTGTTTGTCACAAATTCATTGCCTGGACCCATCATGCACGATGGGTTTGTTAGATTTTAGGGGTTTTGCTCTTGCTTGTAAATCTGAGACAACAGAACACAAAATACTAAACATTATACTTTTAGTTCTACATCATGGCTTCAGGTGTCTGTGTGCCACACTCACAAATCTTCAAACTTCTGAACATTGTTCCTCTGAGTACAACTATTCTTTAGAATTCAAATAAGGCTTGTGCTCTAGAGTGCTGGTACGGTCCCAACGCCAAATCCTGGGATGTGCTTTAGTAAAGGAATGAGTTTTCTGTGGCAATGAAGGCTGCCTGAGCACCGGGAAGGTTAGAGTGTTGCTGAAGAAGCAGCCCCTCTTCCATGGCCCATCTCTTCCACCCAGGAGAGACAGGTCCGCGGCGCCCAGGGAACTGACTATTCCAGCGTTCTACAAAGTCGGTCGCAGCAGCTATGTTTTGTCAGACTTACACACTCGGGTCAGATGCAGGATTAGCTTCCAGGTCTCCAATTAACACGGGATTATTTGAAAACCAAAACAATCAAGGCTCATAATAGAGATATCTGTATGCCTCTGTTACTAACACGTCAAATCATCAGCCCAGGTGCCATTGGTACATAAATAGATAAGGAAACTGGTATGAATATTATTCAGCCAGGAAGAAGAACAAAACCATGTTGTCTGCAGATAAATGGGGGGACCTGGAAGTCATCGTGTTAAGAGCCATAAGCTAGACTTGAGAAATAAAGTATCAGATGTTTCCTCTCATTTGTAGGATATTGGGGGGGATATCAAAGGAGAAGAGACGAGAGTCAAGGAGGGAGATAGGAGACAGCAATAGGGGGTGAATATGATGATGAACATTATATGCAAATATTAAAGTACCACAAGAACCATTGTCATGTTTAGTTAATATGATGAAGAAAATATGTATAAACATCTGTGTAAATACAGATTAACATATGTGCGTATCTATGTACATATAATATTCAGTTAATATATGTAAGTAAAAATTATAAATATTAGAATATATCTGTGTTTATATGGGTACATACACATCCAATCAAAAATAAAACACAACTTCAAAAGAGTTAGCCCCTCTTTATCACTGATGGCCAACCCAGCCGGCCCTTTACCCTGCTAAGACACGACTCTGAGTGATTCATAGCTGTCCCAAGCCTCGTTCACACATCACTTTGGGAAAGACTGTAGCTCTGCTATTCTTGCCACTCTCCTGGGCTGCTGTCTTCGGAATTCAATGAATCGCTTTCCAGGCCTGGTTCAGTCAGCGGCGCCCAGTGCCCTTGTATACGCAGGAAGAGGGCAGGAAAGATGGAGAAGCAGATGAGAGCATCCAGCAGTGCAGACGATGG